AATATCACTAAAACAGGGTTGCTCTATCTCAATGGCAATTCCATTTTATCCCAGTTAATAACACCCTTGTTGATTGTCGAATATATGTAAGCAAAGTCATGAGGTAAGCACCTTAATGATTAAATCTTAAATCCAAAAGCATTGTACATTTTTGGTTTAGACAACGTTGTCAAAAATCTAACATTTTTCAAATCCATATTCTCAATCTGCTGCAGAATACAGTCATTCATTTTATCAAAGGATAATTATAATCCAAACAAAGTAGTTCAGAGAAGATCTTTCTTCTCCCTCTTCATACGACGACTTTCTTCCTTGATAAAACCCAGCTTGTTTACAGCAGGATCTGATGCCTTTGAACAATGTGCTTTCATGTCTGTTTCACTTTAGGATTTTAAAAACCACAGAGAGCAAACGGAGGGGATCATTGGCACTTAAAATATTTTTAAAAGGAAGCAATATTGTAACTCTGCAACGATTTGAGTGCCATTGTATATAATCAGACTTCACGTTTAAATCAAGATACTGTATCTTTGGCTGGGGCTAATTATAACACACCAGTCGTTCATGCTGAGGACAACAAGTTGTGCATTGAAATCAAATTAATGATTCCTACAGCTATATTCTGTGGAAATGAATAGGTTTAAGTTGATCATTGCTTTGTTTCACTTCTTGAACCTTAAAGTTTTACACTTATGGGTGAACAAGTACCGCAGGCTACCTTTCCTGTTTTGCTTTGATTTGACTGAAACAAGATGTTATTGAATTCTTTTCAGAGTAGGCTGAGTATATTCTTGACTTTACCAATAAAAAAGAAAGGTATGGGAACACATATCTTGAACCAGAATCCATAAGAAAACACGTTATAGTGTTTATAGTTGGAAGTTAGTAGAGTTGAAGCTGCACTGAAGTACATCTCTGGCCATTGAGAAAACAATCACAGCTAATGGCAACCCCACTCCCACTACATAATTAATGTGCTAATAATAAGGATTTCACTATTGTGCCAGAAACATTGCCAACATACAGAAATCCAATGGGCCATAAGTCCCTAAGATGCCACACAGACAGAATAAATATGTTTGCAAAGCTGAAGGGGGGACTTACTCATCTGGGATGTACGAGGGCAGATCTGCTTAGCAGCTGGTGGGCTTATTCCCATTTTTATGTCATTAGGGGAAATACGTTTGCATAAAATCAAAATATTGCATGAAGACAAGCTGAAGTCCAACATAATAAACTGCAATTCCATAAAATGAGCTCAGTGCTGCTGTGATGACTACCACGTCTCCTAAGGAACCGCACTATTCATCATCACATGCATCATGTCATTGTTACATTACCACTGTCATCATAGCTGCTGTCATTATCATCACAATTTATGACTGCTCTTGTGAAATAATAGTCCATATGTTACTTTCAAGATTAGAGAGTTAAGTGCTTACCTAATTCATGACCACATTTTTTCATTTGTGGTCACGCTGAACACTGTCCACTACTAAATCACAGAAATAGGTTTTGAATCAGCTCTAATATGAACACTGCAGAGGTCTGTGCCAAATACTGTGTACAATGTTTTTTTAATTGTCTACATAAAACATCCGTGTGGGCCGTGCATGTGGATGACTTCAATTCTACAAGTTACAAAAGCTGTTTGGAGGCTCTGCAAACAACAAATCTTTGCCTCACAAATGCAGAATTTACAAACCACCTTTGTGGCAGCATGGGGGAAAGATTAAGACGAGCCAACAGGGAAATGTCTTCAACCTTTCTGGATGCATTTGTGAGACTGGCAGCAATGTGCCATTCTAGCATGTATGCAGAACATGAAAGAGGAACAATCCACATGTGCACAGAATTATAGTAAATCCAAGAGGGAAGAGATAAAAGACAATGGTTTCAAATACATGGAGGCTGGATAGCAGATACCCACTACACATAAAAGCTTTCAAGTCGGACCAGTGCGGAGCAGCATTTTATTAAAGTGTAAGTCTGTTACAGTTTTCCATTTTTAATTCACAGCTCCATAGTGGCCATTTTAACATTCGCTCTGCAGAACAAAGAGTGAAATTCAACATAAAAGGTCCATATTAATCTCATCAAGAAAAAAGGTTAAACATAAGTACATAATTTGGCTGCACATACATCTAACACAGCTGGTTCTGTGGAAACTAAAAACATCAATATACATTACTTTTTCTCGAATCTCATCCCTACCAACAGGTGCAGATAAACCTTTCCAATTAAAATGAATTTATCCCTACTTGTTGCTTCAAGAAATCGACATTTTTTTTTTACATTTTCTTTTCCATTGCTTTTATCTAAACTATTATTATGACAATGTCTTAATATGAATATAAACTACTGAACAGAGAGAGCCTTTGAGCAAAATATGTGAAATTTATGTATGTAAAAATATTCATAGATTTTCCAATGTCAATTTCCAATTGTTGAATATTATTTTCAAATGTTTTATGTAGGTACAAGATTATGGGCCATATTGAAGAATTTGTCAAGTTGGTTTGTTCGACAGATTGTTTAAAGGCTGATTACATTGAACCAAGCTTTGAAAGAGAAAGATGTCAGGCCTGTTTTAACATTGCCAGCCTTGATCGCTTACAATAGGGATTATTTTTTAATGATGGTAGATGCCATTTACTCAACTTAAAAACGGATTTTTTTTTAAGTGAAACCTCACCGAAAGCGCTTTTATTTGTGTAAAATAGAATATCCATTAAACTTGTGTGCATAAGTAATTAGGAATAAACATCTGAGCACAAACAAAAAATGGTTTAAAGAAGATATTTCCCTGCAAATGTTACACACTATCATCTCACAGCACATTTACATGCATTATAGATTATAAATTATCATCAAATGAACAAAAGGATTCTGTGTGCATCTCTAAGACAAGTCATTTTGGAGCTATATTGTATTCTTTTATAAGTTGGCTCTGACCCATGCTGTCAAAGTCAAGCTCGCAACTGTTAGACACGAAAGAAAAATGGAACTCTTAAGAATAAGTTTCAATGATGCGGCAAATAATGCAGAGGCAACATATATTTTGAACTGAACCCTGGGGGCTTAATGAGAGTTAGTAGATAAGGCAGATGAAACAAAATGCCAAAATGGTTCTGTTGTACAGTCGTGACATCAGCTTAGACAGAACTGCGATGTGCTGTTTACACCAGCCCCATACTCACAGCAGTCATTTTCAGCAGCATGTTTTACAGAAGTCAAAGCAGCATAAAGGTCTTGGAAGAAAAAAACAAAACACAAGTTAAACCAACAAGCAGAAAAAGATTGGTTCCAAAGTAAGGGGATGGATTTCATAGAGTTCAAGTTAAAAAACAGCAACATGGAAAAAGGAAAAAGCTTAAAAGTCTCTTTAGTTCATTTGATTCTTATTTTTGTTTAGAAACAGGGCTGACGCATGGATGAAACAGGATGCTAAAACCCCAGTGGCTAGAGTTATTCACAGCAGAGATGACACTTGGCCGCAAATATTAAGAAAACCCTGAAGGAGGCATGTGGGGATGATGACAAGAGGCAGGTTGTAGATTTCATGCTGGAGAAAGCCTGTTAAAAAGAAAAAGCTCAAAGCAGCTAAATACGGAAGAATTTTCTAGTTAAATCAAAGTGTTTGGGACAGTTGTAGGTCACTACTGGTGGAACACGTTTGCTAGTGTGGAACACGGCCCATGAGACTATGCACGCCAGAAAAACTACAGTGCGGGTTCTTTGTTGAAATGTTTTAAAGAAATCACTGCTCTGTGTTAAGCAAAATAAGCTTTCCAAGCCTTCTAATAATTTTTCAAAGAAAATTGCTGGACGTTTACTGCTTCTTCCACTTATTTTCAAGGCCGTCCCTATATCTAAACAGATTCCGATAAATGTTTCTACGTTTGTAAAGCTGCTTAACAGTGACACATAAATGATTTAAATGTAAAAAGGCAAATTTAAGGATTGAGCCAATGCTGAATCTACACATAAAAAAAACACATTACTAAGGATTTCTGCACTACTAGCATTTTGGGAAGATTCACAATTTGTGTCAATTCCAAAGAGCTTTTAACCAAAAACAGGGTGCACCTTGGCAGCAAACATTCACACTACAACTTTCAAAAATGTCCTTTAAGCCTAGAGAGCACTTACTCAGCACTACTTCACAGAACCATAAGAAAGCTTTTCCAGCAGGGTTCCGGTTGTCTGGAAGTTTAAAGGCTCTCATTCTAAAAACTCACTTTCAAGTTTGATAGAACTAAATAATCAGACTGACTGCACTCGTTTTGACACAATAGTTTCACTCACTTAAACTGGTATCTTGACTGTTATGTACTGTTATAGAACACAAAATGAACAATGAATGGTCAGCTGGTAGCACATTATTATATAGTGTAACATTGTAATACGAAATAGTCACTGCATATAAGGTACTCTAACAACCCAGTTCTGTGATAAGGTCTCAGCTTTGAACTCTAAGCGGTTCTAAACACAGAATGCACACAGCTTGCCTTTACAATCTGTGTCTTAAAATGAATTAACAGGAACCTTCATTAGTCTGTGATGCCACAGCTATACTATAATCGCCCTCAGCCATGCCCCCAGCAGCGACATACAAAGGAGGAACAGCAGCATACAAGGCTACAGATGCAAGGTGTTTGGATCAAGGCTGGAACAAGGATTCAAGGTAGAATGAACAACCTGTGCTGTATTTGAATAGAAACTTCAAATAGGTATTCAGCGTAAAACATTAGAATTCCACTCGCCTGTTAAAACTGTGTTAGAAGGGAGTCTTGTGTTATCTCCACTCCGATCAGCCGCGACAATTAAGTGAATCAATTAAGTGCATCTAGGATCAAGGTGCATCAAGGTGATGAGCGGTTTAATGCTTCACTGCACTGAAGTAGGGAATTTTTTGAAGAGAGAGGTCACAAAACTATATTCCAGTCATGGCCGTGACTGTCTCCTGATGTTTTTCAGCAATATTACCCTTTTCACACCTTTTCCCCAAAGGAGTCCAGGTACAAGCCCAGAGCCAATCTCTCCATGCGTTATCTGAGTTTGAGAAGTGGAAGCGGACTCAGAACTTGTAGAACAAGAGGAGGCACTGATCAGAGGGCACCACGTCTCTGAGCAGTAGGAGACGTATGGTGAAAGACAAGGGATCAAACAGATCCGGGCTGGAGACAATGCACAGCAGCAGCAATACTGATTACGCAACACACTTTGAGCAAGATTAACTTCCAGGGTAATCGACTTCTCATTGTGTGTGTGTTGTGTGTTTTATTAAAATGACATCAGCTACAATTCTAAATATTCAATTTAACTTTTACTTTCAGGCTGCCACGGTTACACGACCCAGCAGACAGGCAAATGTGCAAACGGGAGCTTCTGTAAAATGAATTCATCCATGTAAAAAGAAAAATCACAGAGTAGATTAAAATCATTCAAGTGAATTTAGAGAGTACTTTTGCTTCCAAGCTTTTCAGGTCTAAATAGACTTTCTATTCACATCCTTGTGAGTGTGCAGAGCTCTACTATCAAAACTTATAGCGGCTGAAAATTGTGTGATCAGTTGATATGACAGAAAAATAGAAGCCTGCATGCAAAGGAAATTGAAATAATGAAACACTCAATCATTCATACCAAACATATATGCACTCAGTGCACAGTGCATGGACAAGCTCTCCCCTTGACACTTTCTTTGAATAGATTTATATAATCTTAAAATAGCAGTGTGGTCCATGAGCACGGGGATTTAAAGAAAAAAAAAATAGAGCAAGCTACTGTAGAGCTTCTGTGGTGTGACATCACACAGACAAACACACCATGCCACAAGCCTGCCTCTGCAGTCACATTGTGCTCTCCAACTGGGGCGTAAGAGAAGGAGGAGAGCAGAAGTGATGGCAAAAGAAAAGAAAAGAAAAGAAAAGAAAAGAAAAGAAAAGAAAAGAAAAGAAAAGAGGATAAGGTATACAAGATATGATGAGAAGAAAGGGGGCAGGAAAATTCAGATGATGAGTGAAAGTGAGAGGTCAGGACGGAGTGATTTGAGGATAAGAGGAGGAAAAATATACCAATATGCTAAAGAAAGTGGATTTGTATGGGAGCACTCCTGCAGAGATGAATACTGACAGATTTGAGTGATTTGTCTGACGCACAGACATACAGCTTTTAAACACACGAGCAAACAGGGATTTAAACAACAGGTTCAGCAAAAAATAATTCCCTCACTTTATGTGAGAGTAAGGAACCTGTTGGATGAGAGGAGCATCCTGATTTTAGATTACAGACACACAACAGAACACACCTACACAGTATATGTTAAACTTCTCTAGCCATTCTGCTCAGGAGTAACAATCCAGCAAGCAAACGACAACTGAAGGTCACTACAATATTGACTGATAAACAAGAGAAAGACACACAAACACAGAAAAGTTACAGAACAATTAGACTGCCAACAGTGATTTTTTTCAATGAGTGTGTCATCAAAATAAAACTTGAAAAACAAATTCAGCCATTATCTGTTTTTATGAATAAACTGAGTGAGGTTTAACTAAACAAATTAGTTTTGTACATCAAATTAAGATAATTCCCTTAATCTGGGCCACCTGCACAGAATTGTGAAGCATATCTCCCCCTCCTAATACATTCTATTTTTAAGTTGATGCTTTTAAACATGGTGTGAATAACTGAAACCAATAATCCTCCAGCAGGTGACGTAACATTATCTTATTTTTAGTACGCTATGTTGAGCATGAGCAGGTTATTTGCAAGTTTTGGTGTACAACTTTATTACAAGTCATACTGTAAGTAAAAGGGCGGAAATGTCATTTCCTTGTTATCAGTGGGACCAGATGGGGAATAGAATTTTAAAGTAGTGGCATGCTCTGATTTGAGTTAATGGTAAAAAAAAATGTTTTTTTTAAACTCCAAGTGGAAATTCTTTTGAGATAACATTCATTTTCTTCCCATCATTTCTGATGAGCTAAGGGCACTTGAGTTGACACAAGCATTTTATAAAGTCAAAATGACTTCCCAATACAGAAATATAGATGACACCCCGAATAATTTTTCCAATTGATCACAGATTTTTCAGGTTCATGGGAAGAAATAGCCTGGACTTTAATCCAGCTCAGCTCACCAAAGTCATGCCTGAAAAGTTTTGATTGCTAGTTGGAAAGGGTGTTTTGCACCCGAGAGGAAAAGAGGGGGAAACCATTTCCCTCCTTATGAAGACTGCTGGTTGTAAGCATCAGGGCTGACTTGTATGAGCCAGAGCCACCACCGTAGGGATAAAGCAGCTTAGACTGTTTTGGCTGGACGGCAGCACCACTGGCCAGGACTATGAAGTCCAGGCTGCAGGAAATCAGCTGAGACCGACAGCACTTTCTCTGCGACACAGTAGTTTTTTAGTTAATGCCAGGAGAATAATTTGCTCACATGTTTAAACAGAGCCTGTTTTTTAAAGACGATAAATGCCAATGCAAAGAATAGTTTTTCATTTTTCTTCTTTTGTTTTTGTGCATGCAGCGACTTGAATTAAGACATATTATTACCAGCATCACGGCACGAGAAAATCAACCAGCATATTGTTATGAAATCTACTTTTCTTGTATCAAGTCCTTCACTGACATTTTGTTTTCAGGGACGTATTCTTTTTTAAAAAACCTTCCCAACAGAGGTAACTAAATGTTTCAAATAGTCAATTGTTGGCAAACAATTCAGCCTCTGTGCCGCAGTTTATACTATGACATAGGAGAGTAAATAATACAAAATGGTGCACAACTAATGAGATCCAAGGGTCTTTCACCATGTTGAAACTGACTCAAATGAAATACTACTGAGACAGGGCTTTACTGCAGATGATCACTCTGTGCTGTAATGCTGCACATTGGCTGTGTTCCCTACCAATGTTAAGTACTTGTTATTGTTAGAAAATAATAAACAGACAATGGGAATTTTGGGTCAAGTGACCTTTCCCCATTACAGACATGACAGCTATTGTATGGCTGCCGCAATGACTTGTAAGACTTGCATTAGTAATTGTGTCAGTGAAGCAAAAACAAATGTGTTTCATAGGATAACAGGATTAGAAAACATTCATTCTCTAAATTGAGCTTGATCTTAATGTACATATTCGTTTAATCCTGATACATTTAGACACATACAACCAGGCTCTTTGTGTAGCTAATCTGTGATTCCACCATAAGGGACACAGGCTATATTGTTCTTTTTAGACTTTACTAGATATCAATAACTTAAGGTAATTGTGTTTCAGGGTATGTGCAGAGTTGTTGTTGTCTTGGATTCAGGCAACTTTTTTTAATGAGCAAATCACTGTTCAATCAGCACTTAAGTCGGTGATCAACTTCAACGGCAACACTAAAAAACCAATACAAAGGCTCTTTTGTATTCTGAATGTATCAACAAACTCTCACTATTGACATCAGCAGCTTGCCTAGAAAAATCTATTCTTTCCTTTGTTTTCAACTGCATTTCATTGCATGCTACATGGTCAAATAGCATCAGCTGCATTAATGATCACAATAGAAACAACTGCAGAAAATCGAAAGATTTATAAGCTAGGATACCACAACACCAACCATATTTTTCCGAATTTTGTCATTGTTGTACTGTGCTGCTGTTGGCCTACAGTCTATTTTGCATTTATATGGAATCCTATTGCTCACAAAAGTTCTGATTATATAAGAGGAATCGATGGATCTAATCTAAACAATGATGATGGAGCCATTCAATCATAAAAATAACTATAACAAACACTTTGAGGGGTGACTGTGCTGCCCTTTGATCCCTATGGGTGGTGAAACGAACACAATCAATAGCCACGTTACAACCAAACGGCAGACTTTTCTGCCTCTCTTACAATATGTTGATGGATCATCACTTTGTTAAAGCAGCATTAACTTGTTCATACATCAGTCACACACTCAATTCAGACATGCCTGTTTCAGTGACCGAAAGAACCCCTGACACACACATGACTGGTCAGTGGATGGAGTGTGGCATTATTTACCAAACAGCTTTTTTCAGATTACATCACCTTAACAACTCATAATATTGTGCCATGCCCTCAGTGGTGGTGTAAAACATTGAAGCCATTGAAAGTAAATGTTAAATGGACTGTACTTGTATGATACTTTTCTTTTATAGTTGATCGCTTTTAGACTACAAACCGTGGTCATCCAATCACACATGCACTCGTGGAGCTTGTCTCGGTCCATAAGGCGTTACAGAGGAAACAAAGCTTTTTTCTCTGTCACACACATTCAAACACCAATGTATGCATCAGAGGCCAAATGCGTCTTATCCAAGAACTCTTTGAAATTTAACAAAGGGAAGCTAGGAACCTAACTAATGATCCTCTGATTAGCGATCACTGGATGAAGTTGAATTTGATGCAAAAAATCTGTATTGTTGAGTTTATTTATACAACAATAATAGTGTAGAAAACTTTGCGCATTTTCCTTGTTATTTACTGGACTAATGTTACAGAATAACAAGCAGAGAACAATGTTAAACAAAATGGCGGTGGACAATAGCAGCTGGAGATACTGTTGGAGATACATGGGTCCAGCTACTGCTCAGAAATGTCTCCTGTTCAGATAATAGATGAGAAAATACTCTAAACTTAAATTAAAGTGAAAAGTTTCAAAAGCTCCGTCTCTTTTTTCAATTGACTTTAATATATCGAACCATCAGATACATCTCAGCAGCAGATCACATGTCAAATGGACGGACAGCTACGAGCGGCCTCTGTCTGTGAATGTGACCGTAGCTGCTCTGATCTATGGTGTTCTAAAAGTGATGGTGTGTATGTCACCATGCATGACGTAGGCAGATTTCCTTAACACAATGTGACTGTGAAACACCAGGGGGTTAAATCAGAGTGAAATGGATTAAGGTCTCTGTCTCTGTTTGAGAAATGTCACTAAATCATGCCACTAAACTGAGGCCAACATGACCAAGTTCATTCTTACTGATTAGACATACAAAAAAAACACACACACACACAAGAAGTGATATT